TGGAGAAGCCAGATTCATTTAACAACTTTGTTACTAACTTAACAAATTCAGTGATTCGCTAAACAAGTGGCAAGAAAGGTCATAAAATGGAGAAAATTTCACTTAACTGTCTTGCTTAACAACAGAAATTTTGGGCTCAATTGCAGTTGTAAGTCAAGGACTACCTGTATATAATCCAGGCAAATGTGAATTGAGTGAATATTATAAAATTGCTTCACGCTTGTTAAACTTGAGTGTCAGTCACTGTTAATAGCCTTGTGTGTGTACGTGTTCCTTTGAATCAGTTTTTGACTCCTGTCAACTGCCTGGACAATTCCCTGCAGTTTTCTTGTCAAGTTTGCAGCTTCCTAGGGCTGAAAGAATATGAGTGGCCCAAGGTCACCTAATTGGCTTTGTGCCTAAGGGGCAGCTAACACTCACACTTTCCTGGTTTCTAGATTGCTGCATTACCCACTGCACAAAACTGGCTCTTTGAAAGTCTTGAAGAAAGATACTCTTTTAGTGCCAAGGACTGAATCCAAGACCTGTACACAAAGCTGACTGAATTATTTGTTTGAAAGGACATACAACTCCAACAACTCCTTCCTGTGCTCCAGTTTCAGTTATACGTATAAGTAGTCCTTGTTTAGCTACTACAGTTGGGACCAGTAACTTGACCATTAAGTGAAGCAGTGACTAAATGAAACCACAACTGTGCTTATGATTTTACCTGAGTTTTCTTTTTCTTTACAGACCTGCAAAGGTCATAAACTTCAGGAATGATCAGAAAATTACTTTTCCATTATTGTTGTTGTAACTGCAAACAGTTGCTAAATGAGGCATTTGTTAAACAAGGACTATCTATAGCGCACAGTTGGAAGCATAGAAAAATATCCTAGAAAGAGGCATCTTTTCAATTTTGTCTCTCTTTTTCACAGACACTTATAAAGACAGTCCAAGAAATCAGTGTAGAATTTCAACTTCAGTATGTTCATTATGTTACAACAAAATTCTACATTATTCCACTTTCCTGGTAGAATTAAATGAAAAAAATAATTCTCTTATTATGCTTAACTGCAAACTGATTTATCCATCTGTAGACAAATTAGAGGTTCGGTTGAATTGAAATGGCTGTTTTCCTAGTATAACTTATGGTGTAAATAATCCCCACCTTATCAAATTTTGAGAAAGCTGAACACATATCAAAAAAGATACCGGTAAATGAAAACCTAGTTCAGAAGAGTTTATTTAAAATGGGCATCACTTCCTATAAAATAGAATTTATATATATACAATTGATTTCTTTACTCAGTGCCAGAGCTGTTTTTCCCCTGTCATTATTCATAAAATATGTTTAATATATTGGCCGCTCCTGAATTCAAAATTTCACTTATAGTTAATAATAGAGTGCTGTATAAATAATAATTTTATAACAAGGGAAAAGATTGTTGTGCAGTGTTAGAGAAACTGTTTTTCATTCAAATGTTCCAGCAACTGTAAAAGGAGATGAGCAAAACATCTGTATAAGGTAATTCTGTATGGAAGAAGATAGCAGAAAACTATGTAAATTTATTTATTTATTTTGTTAGATTTTGCGAGACCTCCAAATGCTATAGCAATTCTGGGCAATGTGCAACAAAATAACTACTAAAATGCAAATAAAAAACAAAGAAAAATAAATAGTCTTTTTAAAACAGTACAGGTAGTCCTCATTTAATGACCATTCATTCAGTGACCATTCAAAGTTATTTTTCCCTGGCATGAAGTTTGCTATATATTTTATATGATTTTGGTTTTAATACATACACACCATTTATTAACAGTTGATTGCAATCAGCAGTTGCTGGGTCCAGTATCACTGACTCATCACTTTATCATGATATTTCTTAGGGCTTGTGAAAGTGGGAAACAACTCGGTAACTTCTGCATGCCTGTTCATGGGTTTTTATTACATTTTTCTTCTAACATGTAGAAGACTGTGTGTAGGTGTGAGGACTCGTTCATTTTCATTTAATTTTCTCTTCCAAGGGACAATTGTATCAAAATATTCAGGCAGGCATATTTAACTTAATCATTATTGCTACCTACACACCACAATAGAATTACCATTCTAGTCTAAGAAACTTAATGTGTGAGTAATTTAGGCTGCAAGAGGCTCTCCTAGTAACATTTCCTATTGTTAAGCAAAGTACTTCTGCATTTATAATTTACATCTGCAGCAGTTAAATAAACATGAACAATTGTAGTACTAGGCCAAATATTTGTTTTGATTGCCTCCAAAGTGAAAAACTGAAAATGCAGGCTGCTGGATGCATTATCATTCTTTGTGCTTCCAAGACATTAGAATGTAACTCAGCTTTTTCCTTTTATGTCCAGTAAGGCAGACATTATAACAAATTATTCTACTAAGTCACCCCTGAGTCTTTGACCCAAGCAGCATACCTATTGCAGCAACACCTGTGCTACAATGTTAGCAGACTTGGGATCTCATCTAAGGTAGAACACTGAAGAAGAGCAAAGACCTGGAACATTTTAATTTGTATACGCCTTTTACAGGCATTGCATGTAGTCTTCAACTTACAATCGTTTGTTTAGTGACTGTTCAAAGTTACAGTGATACTGAAAAAAGTAACTTCTGATTGTTTTTCACACTTAACTGTTGCTGCATCCCTATGGTCATGTGATCAAAATTCAGACACTTGACAACTGCCATACATTTATGATGGGTTATGGTGTCCTGGGATCATGGGATCACCTTTTGTGATCTTCTGACAAGCAAAGTCAATCAGGAAGCCAGATTCACTTAACAACTGTATTACTAACTTAACAACTGCAGTTATTTACTTAACAACTGTGGCAAGAAAGGTCATAAAATGGGGGGGGGGATCACTTAATAACTGTCTTGTTTAGCAACAGAAATTTTGGGCTCAATTGTGGTCGTAAGTCAAGGACTATCTCTACTAATAAATACAGCAGATTAAAATGTGTTGCAGGTGGCCTTTGAGAAGAGAAAATATGTTTTTGCCTGATCATAGATGTATAGCTTTCTTTTCCTTAATCATGCTAATTTCTAACTAGTCTTAATGCTGGATCAAATTATAATCCTCTCCTTCAGGGGTGTCAAACTGCCGGCCCACAGGCCAGATGCATCATGCCGAAACCGCACTCACCCCATTGCCAGCAATGGAAAAAAAGTCGCGATACGTCACGTGACGTTGCAAGAAAATAACATTGGATTCACAGACAACTTTCTTGCTTTCTGTCTATGCATTATTCATTAAAACCTAACAGGCAAAATGAATCTATTATTCTATATATATATGGTGTTCAGTGAAATGGGTGACCTTTAAGTAATAAGGAGAAAGCACATCTTAAATAATTTCCCCAAATTATTGTGGTGCTCAACCTTCTCAGGGAGATAACTAGGGTCAAACTAGTAAGTCTATATTTCTCTTTTTTAGTTTTCTTCTTGGATCATCCATGACACAACTAAAGCAGTCCCAGCTCTGAATTATAGCCCAAAGCCCAAAATGAAATATGTCTTGTTTCATAGCATTTATATAATGTTAAACGTAAAGTAAGGACCATGTAAGTTTATTTTTTAAAAAGAAAATAGGTATAAATGTAGAAATACATTAAATGGTAAGCATGGAATGGTAATACAAGGAGAGAACACATTTATTCCTATTGAGAGTACACGTGCCATCCCAAAACACGGCTGCATCCCTCAGAGCTATTTTATAATTGTCGTATTGAATATGTGCAGAATAATAGTAACTATATTTTATCAATTTAACTTACAGTAAATACCAAAATTTATTAGCATTCATTTCTGGTCCCACCCAATTCTTAATCTGTCCTGTTCACTTTATAGAATGCACCTCCCAGCATCTCGCTCAAAAGCCAAGTGCATCTGTAAGCCCATAAAAGGTTATGCCCCGCTGAGGTCCATAATGCAGTTATTTCTATCCCCTGTTGCAGGCATTTACAAGCATCATCAGAGTATATCATTATTGGCAAGTGAATATTGGTGTTCTTGTTCTCTCCTCCCCTTTTTGGTACCTATTAATTTGAGGCTATATCATACTTCTTTTTTAAGGGTTCACTGCCTATTTGTTGACTGATGCACAAGTGTTGTTTAAATGAAATCCTATTGCCATTGGTCCTAGCACACATCCAGGCATCATTAAAAATGTAGTTTTGGAGAATATTTGTGTATTTAGCACATCCTCTTGTGACTGTTGAATGCTACTTTTCTGTTGTTTGCATACAGGAAAAAAGCCCACCTGGTTGCCATAGGAACCCCATTGACCTTAGGTTAACAGGCTTTCAACTAGATCAGTGTCATTATTCACAACAAAAATTGATAATGGCACATGCTTCTGCTTTATTAGATAATTTTTATCTACTGCTGAGTTGTCTGATTCATCTTTAATGAGGAAGCTGTGATTTACTATATGGTTATAGTTAGGGGACATTGTATATGATTTCATTTGTGCTGCATGGATAGAAGAAACTATACCTTGCAATTTTTACTTATGCACCCTGCAGTCAGATTTTAGAAGATGCTTATATTGAATAAATCTATACTACAACGTATCCATACTTCGACATGGATGAATAGTGGAGACATAGTAGTACAGTACTTTAGCCAATATAAATCCTAATAGTATCTTTGCTACAAGTTTGATTTCTACTCCATTAAAGGCTTTCTGAAATTTAATTACCCTCAATAGTTGACAAGGAGAAGGAATTATTCTGACTTGTGCAAAATATTTTGCATATTATATTCCATATAGAATTCATATAGCAATTCTGAACATCCAAGATGACTCTGGATCTATTAAATCTTTAATATTTGCTATGTATTATGAATCTGTCTTCCTGTATTGATATAAACCAGTTTTGTTTGCTCCCAATATCTCTGAATTTAGACTCTTTGCAAATTTTACATATTGTTTTAATAGCTATCTGTATTTTAGTTGCACGTATGAAACTTTTTGTTTGTTTTTTCATTTCAGATTACAGTATTTCGCATGGGGTCAGAAGGACACCAGGATATTGATCTGGCCATCTTGACAGCTTTGTTAAAAGGTAATGGAATTGTTTGCCTCAACAAGCCTATACTAAATCTACACAGCCAAGTCTTACAGATAATGATGTAACCCACCAGCATAAACAATAGAATTTAGAAAAGTCTAAAACAGGTTTAATAGTAAAACAACTATTTTGTAGGCGCTTCACTGATCGCCAGTACTCTTCTGGGACTGATTCAAGATAATTCAATAAAGATTAAATATGTGGTGAATGCTCCAACACTGGAAGTTTTTAAGAAGAGACTGGACAGCAAGGTGAAAGTACGGAAAAAGTGATTGAACCGTTCAGACACCAACCATGAGTGAGAATTATCATGGTTTGATATGTGTCTGGAAATCATTCTTATATTTTCGGTAGTGCCTTAAAACATGATAGAGATGTGACTATAAATCTAAAATGATGATTTACTTGATGACTTATGATACATTGAAAAATTATAAGAAAATGGAATCTAGAAGAGAGTGAAATGGAATCTAGAAGAGAGTGAAATGAATTGTGTTACAGAATGCCACAGAAGTATGCAGCTAATGGGCTGCACCAAGGATGCTTGGTGCAATGGTAATAATAATAATAATAATAATAATAATAATAATAATAATAATAATAATAATAATAATAATAATAATAATAATAATAATAAAAGTTGGAAGGGACCTTGGAGGTCATCTAGTCCAACCCCCTGCTCAGGCAGGAACCCTACACCATTTCAGACAAATGGCTGTCCAGCCTCTTCTTAAAAACTTCCAGTGTTAGAGCATTCACTGCTTCTGGAGGCAGATTGTTCCATTGGTTAATTGTTCTAACTGTCAGGAAGTTTCTCCTTAGTTCTAAGTTGCTTCTCTCCTTGATCAATTTCCATCCGTTGCTTCTCGTCCTGCCTTCAGGCGCCTTGGAGAATAGCTTGACTCCCTCTTCTTTGTGGCAGCCCCTGAGATACTGGAACACTGCTATCATGTCCCCCCCCTCGTCCTTCTCTTTGTTAAACTAAACATACCCAATTCCAGCAACCGTTCCCTGTATGTTCTAGCCTCTAGTCCCCCAATCATCTTTGTTGCTCTTCTCTATACTCTTTCCAGAGTCTCAGCATCTTTTTTACATCGTGGTGACCAAAACTGGATGCAGTATTCCAAGTGTGGCCTTACTAAGGCATTGTAAAGTGGCATTAATACTTCACATGATTTTGATTCTATCCCTCTGTTAATGCAGCCCAGCACTGTGTTGGCTTTTTTGGCAGCTGCAGCACACTGCTGGCTCATATTTAAGTGTTGTCCACTAGGACTCCGAGGTCCCTCTCACAGTTACTGCTATTGAGCAAGGTACCCCCTATACTATACCTGTACATTTGGTTTTTCTTGCCTAAATGTAGAACCTTACTTTTTTCACCATTGAATTTCATTTTGTTAGATAGCGCCCAGTGTTCAAGTCTGTCCAGCCTGTCTTCTGGAGTGTTTGCTATTCCTACCAGCTTGGTGTCATCCGCACATTTGATGAGTTCCCCATCTATCCCCTCGTCCAAATCCCCTCGTCCAAATAAAAGTGAAAAAGTAAAAAGTTTTACCTAATGAGTGCTATTGATAACATTAATATTGCCCCCATCTTCTGAAGTTGCATCTATACATTCTTAATTCAACTTATGGTATATTTAAAAAAAGATAGAATAAGTAAATATATATATATCATCAGATTATACAGCTTATGTGCTCTGTTTGCATTACAACCTGCTAAAATTAATTTTACCTATAGGAACAATAGAATTTCATTTGTGGTATAATTTGAGATTTTTTTTATAAAATCTGAGGGTGTTTCTGGAAATGATGCAGAACACAACTGTTCCACAAAAAGTTTGTTGTTTTAGTTGCAGCTTTTTCCCCTAGTCCCCTCATCAGTATGATTTGCAGGACAGTCCAAATTTTTCTACTGTATGAAATGTTGAAAGAAGTACAGTGAATGATATACAATATGCTCATTTCCATAAGTGCTACCTCATCCATGTTGTGTTGATTGAAGCATATTGCTATGATTACCTGACGCTGATGTTTCTGGTTTCTTCTTCTAGCTTGTTAATGTATTGTGACTCATGCTCACAAAGTATTTGTCCTTCAGCTCTGGACCAACATTGCTATTATTCTCTAGCCTGATGCGTAGGGCAATCAATGCATGTCAACCATGAAATGGTTATGTTAATTTTATTAGATTTGAAACAAAAGTGCCAGAGTAAGCTTAGTAACATGTTGTATTGAGAAATGTGCAGTTTGTGAAGGCCATTTCTGTGCAAGGTGTTTGGAGCAGCAAGGGATATTTCCTGACATCCCCCACCCACATTTGAAAGAAGCCAACTAGAAAACAGATTTGTTGATAGGGTGGGGGTAAGGTGTTCTTGAAAATTTGCTTGCTTTGTTTTTTTTAACTTAAATGGCATATTTTATCCATAAAATTTGGATTTCCAGGGGATACTGTGAAATATACCCACATGTATATACAAGTGTCTCTGTATACAAAGACAAAGGCATCCACACCATCCAGCTTTTTTAACATATTAATGAAACAGTGTCGTGCTGTAGTGATACAAGTTCCTCCTGTCACAATGGAGGCTCCACCATAAAACAACCACAAGAAATTGTTGAGGTTGTGTAACATCAACACAATTCTGCTTCTATCATTTGATTTCCCTTGATCCGCGCTAAGGTTGCTTCTGTGCACAGAAATATATATTTTTGCTATGAATAGAGTAGATTCTAGAAAAAAGTTAGTAAGCATTTGGTATTATTGAGAAATTGTAAAGTTTAGGATGATGTTTTCAAGTTTTAACTGAACCCAAATAAATTTAACCTCAATCTAGATAAGAAGAGTGTCCGGAACGGTTTTCCTCCTGACTTTTGCAAAACAAGAAAATTTTATTATCATCTATTGTCATCCATCTAGCTGCAATGTCAGCACATAATGTAGAGATCAATTTAACTAAATCTATATAATCTGGACATTTAATGGAAACATGCAGCAACAGAGATATTGCTGTGCTCCGATATAACATTGGCACGATGCAAATCCACTGGAGAGTCACAAGACAGCTTTCTAACTCAGACAGACAAGAAGGGAGTATCCTAGCAACAACACAAAAACCACGTGATGAATCTCAGAACCATTTCTCTGCCTTGATCAGGTTTTATTCCCCTTGAAATGGGGATGTAAAATAGAGAATTCACCTCCTGCCCAACAGTGTTTGCAGTGGATTGATTAATATGAAGAGACAAAATAATATAGAAATGATACGTATAAAATCATGCTTGCATCAACTGTAACCCAGAAATATTAAATCAGAGTAGTATGTTCAAATTATATAAAGAAACCCCCCCCCCAGAATTTAGAGACCTAGGCAATGAAGGAAAAGAGGAAAAGAGAAGCTGATGCTACTGTTCAATCCAGAGTTGTAGAAAATTGCTTCCCAAAATATAATATGCACTTATTTGTGTTCACACATTAAGTTAACCATTTAGTTTTTTGTTTTGGCTTGGCATGATATACAAACCTAGCCGATACATTTATTAACTATGCTTTATGCTTTTCCAAAAGACCATTATTTTTTTAAAAAAAACGTGGTTTGGTACCATGTATGAAACCAGTAATTGCTTAATTCAACTGATATTTTTCATTATAGCTTCCTCTTTATATTAAAGATGATCAGATTTCATAAATTTCATAGAGAGCATTAAACACACACAATATTATCCTCAGCAGTTTCACAGGCAAATACCCACTGATTCAGAGTTGGGTATTTGAGATAAAACATAAACATATATGACTGCTACAAATGAGATTTGTAAGATTAAAATCCGTATAGAATTGCCACAGATTTTATTATACAATACTATTTTCTCATTTTCTAATATTTTAGCTACCCTGAACAATTCAGGCTGCCACTTTAGGATGTTTTCTTCCTTGTTACAACATCTGTTGATCTAATTTTTAAAAAATGTGTGACATTATATGTAATATATTCATTCATTCACATGCTTTGTGGTGCAGCAATCTAATCCAAACTTTTGATAAAGGCCATCAAAGAACTACAGTTGCATTGGAAATCTCATTACAGCTCAGTGATTGATATTGTATCTGCATCAATACTCATGTCACTTTTCATTTTACTTTACTTTTGAATCTTTCACTGACCTGAAATAATATTATACATTTCTTACATGCATCTTCTTCCTGAATTACAGAACACACTTTGCTTTGTTTCTTTATGCTGATACTGTTCAGTTACTCTCTTGCATGCATATATATATATGTTGTTCCAAATACATATGGTACATTTTATTAAATTAAAATAAATAAAGCTCTAAAAGATTATTTTTTTCTGAAAAGTTTTTCTGAGACAAATTCTGTAAGACAAGCTTTTTGCTTTGTTAACAAAATCCCAGCAAACTGTCTTCCTAAAAAAAACAACAATAATATATATAATCTTTGTTTAGCAACCATTTGCAATTATGATAGTGATGAAAAAGAAATGTTAAACCAATCCTTCCTTTTGTGACCTTCACAGGTCTGTAAAGCAAAGCAAAACTGAAGTAAGACCCTATACACATTTGCAGTTTCACTCAGCAACCACTTGTCTTAACAACCAAGTTGCTGGTCTCAATTATAAAACAAAAAAGTTTTTATAATGCCCAGGAAATGTTCCAATTTCCACTGGTTGCATCTATTCTAGCTTTTAATTTTTAAAACAGAGGCAATTGTATCCTTTAGTTATTTCTGGTCAGTTTTCTACCCAGTTAGTCCTCGACTTACAACAGTGTGTTTAATGACTGGTTGATGTTACAGTGGCACTAAAAAAAGTGACTTATGACCAGTTTTTCCCACTTCTGATCGCTGCAGCATCCCCATGCTTACGTGATCAAAATTCAGATGCTTGGCAACTGATTCATATTTATGACGGTTGCAGTGTCCCGGGGTTACGTGATCACTTTTTGCAGCCTTCTGACAAGCAAAGTCAATTAGTAACAGTCATGTTACTAATTTAACAACGGCAGTGATTTACTTAACAGCTGTGGTAAGAAAGGACGTAAAATGGGGCAAAGCTCATTTAACAGCTGTCTCACTTAGCAACAGAAATTTTGGGCTCAAATGTGATTGTAAGTCGAGGACTACCTTTATTGTGTTTTAAAAAGGAATGGAATTGCTAGGAAAGAGATTGGCAATATAGGAACCACAGTTCCCAGGCTTGGGAGGACTGCCATGTCAGCATAGTCAACTGCCTCCAGTGGCCTTGAAAAGAGCAGCAAAAATGGCCAGTGATTTGACCATTGGAAAGGCAGAAAATAACCTATAATTTAAAACGTTATATAAGCTTTGTTCTCTGTATACACAGTAGACAATTTTTTCAATTGCATAAAATAACTAAACAAGCTAAGTTATGTCTGTGAGCCTCCTTCTGACTAAGCAAACTCTTGAGTTTAGTATCTGACAGGAATATACAAAGGAGACCTCTGAGAGATTCTTTTAACATTAATCTAGCAAACAGAATTAATACAAGCTTCTATGCCACATCTCCACAGTTATAAGGCAGTTCTGCTTCTGTTATCTCCCTTTGTGAGAAAGGAGTTCCAGATTTTTTCACAAATCTGCATGTATAAACCCCAGCTTATCAAAGTTAGAAATAATGTAATTTGTTAGTTACTATTTCCCTGTTACAATTAGTCCTTTAATTTATAATTTTAGTTTTCTAAAATATTCAGGTAAATATTAGGCATCCTGGTTTATTTAAATATCTTGAACTAGATTGCTAACTTCAGCAAGAAAACTATATAAACATAATTGTAATAACTCTCAATTGGACCATATGTCTATCTTCTTTCCTTTCATTTTTCATGAGAATCTGTTTTGCTACTGACTATGTTGAATTAATTAAATATTCTTATTCTTCTCGATTTCTACAGGAGCGAATGCCTCTGCTCCAGATCAACTGAGTTTGGCATTAGCTTGGAACAGGGTAGACATTGCTCGCAGCCAGATTTTTATTTATGGGCAACAGTGGCCGGTACAGTATCTATATGGTTATTAAATACTTTTCCAATTGAGCATAGCTATTATAGTGGTGGAGAAGAGAAAGAGGGAGAGAGAGAAAACATAAACAGATTGTCATGTAATCATAATAAAGATGTCTGTAATTTTTCTTGTAGGAAATAGTGTCATCTAGTGGGGCTGTTAAAATACAACATAACCTATTGTTTTATATTTTGTGAGAATTTTTTTTTAATTTAAGGACAAATATATTTATTGTGGCTTAAGCTTTCAGATACCATAGTTTGTCTCCTGAGATGCCTGAAATGTCATATTATGCACTTTTGTTCTCTCTCAATATATACGGTATATTGAGAGGCTCTGTTCCAGTTCAACAACTCCAGATAATGAAGCTTCAAATAAGGAGGTTGAAAAAATGTTTTTGCATACCTGTAATTTTGCACATGTATAAAGATGTCGCAGACATACAAATACAACAAGTAATGGAGCAGATGCAATTCAGATACAGATCTTCAGTTATTTAGAAAATTCAACAATTTCCACCTCAACTTCTCTGTAAGAGAGAAAAAGCTGAAAATTTGGGAGGGATGAATAGCATTTCTGAGTGTTATGGAAGGGAAATAAAATTATTTCAGATGAGGAAATTAATGGAAAGTTATTGAATAGACTGATGAACCTGGAGGAGAATTAGTGGGGGAAAGGACATTTTTTTCAGTAAGAAGGCTAGCTGTATATGTGATCATTTCCCACATAAGCTGGAATTCAGAGTTGTCCAATGGAAGTGTTGTTATATGTGAAAGCTCCCTGCCACAGACAATCATGTTATAATGTGGAGACCATAATTTCATTTATGTCACTAGCACAACTAGGAAAAGGCAAGTGCTTTTCACTGTTTCTTCCATTTTGATTGAACACACTATGGTAAATCCTGAACAGGGCCACAGATTAACAAGTATTGTTGACTTCCTAGACAAAGTTTTTCAACTCTTGAGAACTTTTGATAATGTCCATAATAAAACTGACTTACTTGAATTTCAAAAAACCTTCCACAAAGTTTGACCAAGAGAATACATCCTCTCACAATTGATAAAACTGAAGAACAGAAAATGGAGGATACTGAACAATTATTCCAACGGAGAATTGCAAGCTTTAAGAATCTCTCAATATTTTGTATTGGAGTTAGTGTGTTTAATTTACATTTATAAGGTTGCATAGGTAGGAAAAAGAAAAATATACTGAAATATGTGGGTGACACCATTTATTCAGGTTGGTAAAAACTAAAGCTGACAGCAGATGTCCACACCAAGAGGAAAGAAATTTTTAAAAAGCTTACAACATTCCAAAATTGTATTGAAAAATAGTGTTATGTGGAACCCATTTTTAATATGATAGGAAAATGTAAAATATTTCCATAACCCTTTTTGTATGAACTTTCTCCACAAAATCTCCCTGATTAAGCTATTTCCCTTTTAGGTGGGGTCCCTTGAACAGGCCATGTTGGATGCCCTGGTATTAGACAGAGTGGATTTTGTGAAGTTACTCATAGAAAATGGAGTAAGCATGCATCGTTTTCTCACCATCTCCAGACTAGAAGAACTGTACAATACGGTAGGGGCCCTATTTGTTTATTTAATTCCCTTCAAGACCTAGCATGGTGCCCAGAAATTCATCTAATCTCGTCATTCCCGAAATAATGCTTGCCTTCCTTAAAGTGTTCCTGTAACAAAATCTCATAACGCTTTGCCTGCTTGTTCTTTTATTAAACCCTAATACAACTATATAACTTTATTTAAAAAAAACACACATCTGTACCCTATTACAGTTTGGATTCTGTTAAAAATAATTTGCTCCCAAGATAAATTGCTTTTTTTAAAAAAATTGCCATTTTCAAAACACCACTGAATTGGCTAGGCTAAAGCAGACCATTTCAAGTATTCTATTTGGTTCCTATTATTTCTCAGGGAACATCAGCTGCCTTGTCAAAACAATAAAACTTTCACTTACCACGAGGCTATAACTCACATATTTTACTTAAAAGATGAGCAAAAATTAAATAGACAGCCATTTTCCTCAAAAAAATTAATGCTGCTTATTGAATTTCTGCCTGATTTTCATGCAATAATAGTGGACAGTAATAATGGTAATCTTAAGTCTATCTCAGGCTGCATGGGTGGTATAATATCAAGGACACATGGTAATTATTCAAACTCTGCAGAGGTCAGTATACCTTGCCTCCTGCTCTGTTCTCTTAAACATTCCCCAACATTAACTCCTTTTAAAAAATCAAGAATTGCATGATTTGGTAATCTCTATATAAGGCATACATAATATATGATACTTAAGTTTCATGAGATAGTTAAGGGCTACTAGTACCATTTGTGCATGACTCAAACTTTTCACCCAATAGTAAATGTTTGAAGAACTACAGCTTAGTCCCTTTTGATCCACATTAACAAGTTGGGTTAAGTCTACTTCTATCTCCACCAATTCTAAATGCGAACATGGAGCTTCTTTCAAAAATAGTATACTGCAACTAAGTCTTTTCATACGGAAGGAGAACACTTGAATCAAAAGAAAAATATTTGTAGCTTAGGATAACTAGTAACATTATCGTGATAAAAGGGAATGGGGTTTGCTCTCTGATTTTGTTACCTAGTTGGGTAATGAAATATTTGCAAGAAAACAACAAAACTCAACCCTAAGCTATAAATATTATTTTGATAGAAGTGTTTTGTTACCTATTATGAAACTATACAATTGTCACATTCAGTAATTTGGGTTTTATGAGCTTTTTAGTTGGACTCTCTGACACACCTGTCCTTTAATCCAAATAGCTTCTTCAGATACATCAGAACCATTAAGCTGTTTCTTGTGATCTTTTTCAGAGACATGGGCCATCCAACACTTTGTATCATCTTGTCAGAGATGTCAAAAAGGTAAGCGTCCAAAGGTGGACAGTAGCGTGAAGGTAATATGTAGCTGCTTCTTGTCATTAGAGACAGCCTCTGTTTTGCATGGGCTACCAACAAGAGCTTTTTTCCACCTTCTGCCATTGCAGTTGTGCAGTGTGTGTTCGTAATGATTCTCAGCCTTGTGTACAATACAGTTAACTATTTAGTGGCTGCTAGTGGTTATTTTAGATGCTTTAGGTATACTGCTTCTGCTAGTGGACTGTAGGTGTTTTTCATGTGATGTGGATTTATGCAATAGATGTATTTTAATAGTCATCAGTGTTTTGAATGCTGATTTCCATATTGTGGGTCAGTGTTGGACATTGCAATATATATTATTGTTATGCTGGATCTTGAATCATTGTATTATTTTCAGCTTCGTTAAATGCTATTTTTTTATAAAACCCCTTATCTTTTTGAAGTAGAAAGTTTAAAAAAGAAAACAGTTTAGATAAAACTTTGTGTGACTGAAGCTACCTTAAAGGAACTGGTGGAAACAGATTATGCTTTTTCTAAAAATAATTTTTATCAAAGTGTCTTGGATTCTATTCAGTCACATAACAGGATCTGTGATGATTAGCAGCAAAGTGAAGAAGAGAATGAAAAGGAACTTATTGGCCCTACATACTTTGGTTGCAATTCTTACAGCTTCTCCATGCCTGTATGTTGGCCACTGATTTCCTGCATGGAGATACAATGATATATGTTAAGCCACAACCTAAAGAGATATAAGAAAATCTTATCTCCATATCTGCCCATAACAGTAACATAACACTAGCTACATAAAACGTCATCCCCCAATTTTATTTTCGCTGAAAAAACTATAAATTGATTTTTTAGAAATGGGGAGGAGGGGGGGAAGAGGTACTAAAACAGAAAAACTTAATATCTAATGCCTAGTGCATGCCTATGTACTTGATCACAATCTTATAATCCTCTGGAGCTTGAAACACGTGCATAAAATCCAAAGACCATCAGCTATAAATTTAAATATTTGTAGATTTCAGTTTTAAGGCACTTTTGCCTTAAAACATAAATGTGCAAGAGAATGAGGAAATACAGATTTAAAATGGGTTGCCCTTTCAACTTTTGTAAAAAAAAAAATGAAAGAAAGAAACACCACAGACTCAGAGTTTCCAACAAGTTTTTAAAGAATTTTAAATCATAACTAACTCAGAAATTTGAGGAAAAAATTGAAATGTTTGATTATACCTGGAAGCAGGGGAAAAACTTTTGAGAACTTATTTTACATTTGTTACTTTATTTATGAAATATTAAATTTGGAGAACCAGACCAAAATGTGTAACAATTTTTCAATAACAGAGCTAAATGTCTATTGGGACAACAACAAAAGCTGTTTACAACAACAAAAAAATCTCATGAATATGTAGTACAGTACTGCCTAATTCAAAATCAGGGTTTAATTTAAGCTTTCTGCTTCCCTGTTCTTTTTTTGTTAGTAACAAGAAGCAGTATAAATATAGTCATTTCTGTGCCATTAGCTGTTTTGGAAATGTCACTTGAAATCTGTTGCATTAGACAGCAATTTTTCCTCACTTCATAAATAATGAAGAAGTAAAATGTTATGCTACAAGATATTAGATGGTTCCTGCAGACCTATACCTGAGAAAGAGCATTTCTTTCTTTTCAGTCAGTTTATGAATCTATCAACAAATCTGACATGAATTTAAATGAAATGGCATTCTAGAAAATAACTTCTTAATGCAACATATCATTATGTTGACAGCCCAATATTTCACTGCCCACGAGAGACAGATGACTGTCTAAAGCAACTTATCTCATTCTGATGAATTTTTAATTCCAGTAACTTAACATTAGTTTCATTATAACTCTTTAAGATCAAATAAATATTTGTTAAAATGAAGCACTTTGTAAGCATTACCCAGAGAAATAAATTATATTCACTTTATTCTGCTGAAGAGCAGTTTAATATTAAAATTGAAAAATAAATAACTGAAAATTAAACAACTAAATATAAAGCAAAATATGAGCACATTTAAACTTGCATATGAAAAATTCCAAAAAAACCTTTTGTGGGTATGTATGTAGCAATTATATATTTTAAGTAACAAAATCTAGTTTTTTTCAATACTATAAAAGTGCAGTGTGAGAATAACCTAATATTGAAGATAGCCTTTGCCCCAATTATGTTAAGGAAAATCATTTCTTTCTAATTGTAAAGGGTGCAGAGAGAACACCATTCAAGTAACCATAAAAATAATTTTGCTTGCATGCAAGGAAAGGGAAGCTAGCAAAATGGCAAATTTTTACACTTTTCCTTATATTAAAAGACTTTAAAAATGATAAAAATGAAATATCATGGATAACTCTTAAATTCCAGTTCTGAATGAGATTATGGAAAAGAATAACAATGTATCCTTTTGACTTCTTTTATTTAGTTAATAAAGATCATTTCTCCTATATTTGAATATCAAGGGCACTGACAACAAATCATTAGTCAGAAAAGTGTTTGGCCTACAATAACTACTTTTTTGCCAAATTGGATGTTTAATGATTACTCAAATAACAAAAGGAAAACATGTTGGGAGCTTTGATAGCTAAAGTATGCCCTCTACTGTTCATATAGTAAACATTTCTACCCTTTCCCCCCTCTCACTAGATATATATTTAGTAAGATACCTTTCTGATTAATTCATGATCAGTAGGCTATATCTATGAATTATGATTATGTTCAAAATTAAGCATCTGTAGAAAAGGTGTCTCTTTCTGAATTTCTAACAATTTATTCTTTAATCCTAAGCATGTCAATTTAGAAAGAGAGAGCAATTTGAGTGGAAATTGCTTTTCAAACAAAGCAATAAAGTTCTTAAATAATAAAATGTTACTAGAATCAACATAATCAGGCTACACTTTAAAAGGGTTTAGAAGAAGGAATTATTCTTAGTTTTTTTAGAAGAAACAAAACTACTACTAAACTTTACAATCTGAGTCATAAGACTTATATGATATCATATAATTATTTCACTTTTATTGAGTATTCAGGCATTATTCAAATTGGTTTGGATATCTTTTAACCTAGAACAAATCAGAAGAACAATTCTCAGTTTGTACTTTGTACTAGTAGATTGATACCTGAGTAGAGTAAAATTTAGTAAAAATACCAATAGATTGTGTACTCATTTAAAATATTTGGAATCAAGAACTTTGTTTTATGTTCATGTTATTTTAATTGTTAATATGCTACATGATATAAATCTGTTCCATTCACACTTCTTTAGAACTACTAGGTAACTGATATAAAATTTAATGTGTGATACAGTCCTGAAAGTTCTCTAAGATTAGTATTAGCTCAGCATGTAAATCCTAGACAGGTAATATAGTCACAATTGCAGTAATAATCTCAAAATGGCATTTTGTGTATATTTACTATGAATATAAAGTGCAGGCTACATCAACCATAGTATCTTAAAGCAATATATTTATTTAGAGAGGGCCTATGCTTTCTATACATTGGGGGAGGGTTGTAAACTGTTTTTGCATTACACTAATAACACAGAAAAATGTCCTTTTTGATATTAGGAGAATTGAAAGTCAGTGGAGCGAGATCTGAGAAATGGCTTATGAGGTAAATTCATTATTTGGCCCACTCAGTGCTAAGTGAAAAGGTAACAGATGAATTTTGGCACTTAATGATAAATGGTGTGTGAAAATAATTAGATATAACTTAAATCAACTTTTATTTAAATGAAAACACGTTGGAATCTCCAACTAAAAATTGAGGAGAAATTCACTGTCATATAGATTTGTCTCTAAAAAGTGAAAATAAATTCCTCTGCACACACTTTTTCTAGATATCAAATATTATTTCATTGTCAGCACAGCTTCCAAATATATTTCCTTTTTGGAAGATGCATGACCACATAGCAAAAACAAAACAAAACTCAGTAACCAAAAGTTTAAGTGAAATTTTTTTTATTCCTGCAGAGGGGTAGCATCTTTAGAAAGATATAAGAATTTTTCATTTTTTAATTGTGTATGAAGACAGTTTTAATTAGAGAACCACAAGAAGGAGGCTTCTGGAACCTTAATCTGCTAAATATACTATTCAGTAAAAGAGCAAAACTTAACGATTAAAGCATTCAGCATCTGTTTATGCTAAAGTTGCCTTCCTGTTCCAGGACTAAGTTTGGGGAAAAAACATTCTTAGAAGCATGATAGAAACAGGAAGTCACACAACCCCAAGAGGTTTCCCAGAGCACACACATATTCCTCAGGATATAAGAGTTATAATGGCTTATTTGGGATACCACCAGGTTCCAGCAAATATGTAGAGTTTCTGTAAAATGCTTTGCCTTCATGCTTTCTTTGTTCTGCAGTAGTGTATCCTTTTTTTCTTCCCAGAATAGCCTAAATCCTGTGTTCTGAAACTTATTATCTTCTTTTACTGGTATCTTTTAACACATTTTCTTACTTAATTTATGTCTTTTTTCCAAGCGCGAATATCCAGGTTTCGGTTGGATCTATTTTAAGGTGAATTAATTAATAAGCATAATAATGTTTTCTTATGTTTCATTTAAAACTCTCATAGTTATAGAAAAATGTGTACAATAGACTTAATAATCAGTTGTATCTTCCCCCCCCTTGTTTTGTGTGTCTTTTATTCTATTGGAAAAAAAATAGGGAAACCTACCACCAGATTATAGGATAAGTCTAATTGACATTGGCCTGGTGATTGAGTACCTGATGGGAGGAGCTTATCGCTGTAATTATACTCGAAAACGCTTCCGAACACTCTATCACAACTTATTTGGCCCCAAGAGAGTAAGGATTGTTATTGAGTTTCTTTTTTTAAAACTGTTTCATAAAAAGCAGATTTAAGGGGGTGGGTTAAGAGGTGATCAAGTCAAAGGTGACTTGGTTAGATGACCTTACTTGGCTTTTGGATACATCTTGAATGTTGAAAACCTGTTATGGGCACTGCCATATAATGCTTCTGGGCACTTCAATACTACAAGAAAAGGGTGTGTTCTGAGCTCATTCCATGAACAAATTCCTTCCTTTGAATACACTTACTCGAAGCTCATTCCTTTTCTAAATTCTAAATCTTTAGATTCTAAAATCATCTTCCACCTCCCTACTCTAACATACACTTAAATTATTTACTTCTGTTATACACCCTGTTTCATTCTCAACCCATAGTACATACCAAAAACACAGTCTGTGACAAAAATACGTTTCTTTCCTGTCCTCTCTTTTATTTGTTTGTTAGATTGATTGAGGTCCCTCCTTTCACTCAGGAACTCAAGTATACATATCACTCCTCTATGTGTTTTTTCTCCATAACAACAACCCTGTGAAGTAGGTTGATCTGAGATTCAACTTCAGTTCCTCCCTCCTCCATCTCTCATGTTAAGAAAACCCTCAGATTGTTCCTTGCGCCTGCTTCTTCTATTCTATAATAGCCTTAGAGGAGTGCAAAAATAACCTTGAAGACAATATGCACCAATCACTGTGAAAACATCACCTTAGGCATAGGACAAATAAATTCCCAGGAATGGGAGGAGGAAGTGAGATATAAAGTCAAGGATGGACCACCTTGAGTTTCTTGGGTATAAGAGAGAAAGAAAGGGAAAATTTGTTAGGCTTTCAAGATTCTGCTTTATATCCTATAATAATAAAGCAGAGTTACAGTAGTTCCTATGGCATCTGTTTCCTACCTTGGACTGCCTCAAAGGATTAATATAGCTCTTACTCTAATTAGTCCCAGATTTCTGCCATCTTTCCCACTCCATCCTTAAGCCTGTTTTTTCTTGGATAATAACAGTGGGATATCAATTATTCTTCTTTCCTTTCATTTTCCAGTGCATTTCTCACAGTAAATAATTATGAACTACTGAATTCTGGCCCTAGCCCCAAATGTAACTATTTCATAAATACATAAGAAAATAAAATTACACTTGGAAGAAATCATTTTCTACTCTAAAATATGTCCAATCACCTCTTTTTAAAATTAAAGTAATTGAAACACATAACAGTATGGCCCGTGGTGGGATTCAGCCAGTTTGCACCACTTCGGCAGAATCGGTAGCTAATTTTTTGTTGCCCAGGCCCAGAATGGACTTCCGGAAGTGGCATCCACACAGAGAACTGATTGTTCACATATTTGAATCCCACCACTGAGTATGGCACCTTACAAATACAGGAAGAGATGTCAGTCAGTAATATCATCCCAACCCCCTACAACAAGTGTGTCAAACTGCCGGCCCACGGGCCGGTTGCATCATGCGGATGGCCCACCCCAGCTCCGGCAATGCAAAAAAAGTCACAACATGTTGCAACACGTCATGTGACATGCCGTGTTTGACACCCGTGCCCTACAGCATATGGGCTTGTACCTGAATTCCTCTTTTCAGTTACAGGTGCATCCAAGAAACTCTAATTATAGCTTCAGAATGCTGAAGAGATGCAAGGGTTAAGCATTAGATGCAAGATATTGCTCTGACTGATACAAAGTGGGAAAGGATGTTGCTGACATTTTTCCAGTTCCTAACATGTAGGAAACTTAGAATATCCCTTCAGGATTTTCTGGAGAGTTGAGGGAGCAATGTCTGCAGCTTTTGCCCAAAAGTTTAAAATACTGGAATAAAGCTGGGTGCCAGAAAAAAAACAAAAACATAAGAGTCCACATTATTAAACGCAAGTTTACTTTTCTTTAATTAACTTTGGAATCTTTGTACAATAATACAGATTTTTCCCAAATAATAGGGATATGCAAAAACAGTTAAATAGTAGGAAGTGATTGCACTAATAACTTCAAGAGGCTTGCAAAGTATGTATGCTGAATCCAGAAAAATGATGAATGAACAGGATAGGTTTTATTTAGTCCCTGTGCTTTTTGAAAAATTATAAATAGAATTATTCTTTTCTTTTTTTACCCACAGCCCAAGGCCCTAAAACTTCTGGGAATGGAGGTAAGTTGTAAATCACCCATTTTAATGACAATTTTTTATAAACCTTTACTGTAGAACAAAATATATTCAGGGCTGTGATTCAACATGATTTACATGATTTAAAAAAACAGTAACTACTTCTATGTACTCAAGGACACTTACAATTTAAGATTTCAAATGGAGCTACTTTTCCCACCATAGAGGAGGGAAGCAGGGAGAGAAGGAAGGAAGGAAGGAAGGAAGGAAGGAAGGAAGGAAGGAAGGAAGGAAGGAAGGAAAAGAAATCAAATATCCCATTGGACATGCCTAGAGCATTAGGCATACCTAAAATTTATCTTTAAATCCTGGCAGCAAAATAATACATGTTTATTTATTTATTTATTTATTTATTTATTTATTTATCGAATTTATACCCCGCCCTTCTCCTGACGGACTCAGGGCGGCTTACAGCCAGTTAAAACAGATAACTAATACAATAAAACTAATTTAAAATGTGATTAAAATGAAGTATTCATTGTTGGCCGTTTCTTTTTTAAAATTATTTAAAACCAAATTAAAATTCCC